ACTTTCGGGGACGACGAGGCAGTATCGATATCGAAGTGCAGAGATCTGCTGTCAAGCCCCCGTTAGAAACAGCAGTTGATCTTTTTATCCTCCAACTACAGAACCATACCGGAGGCGATCAGAAGACTCGAATGCACACAACAGAGCATGGAAACAACATTCGGTATTCTCGACGGGATTAAACCTTGTATTCAGGCTACAGCCGGACCAAAAGCGGTCCAGATGAAGGAGAAACTCGACATGGTGATTCGCAAAATGAAGGTCATCGCATTCTAGAAGAAATTTCGTGTCTTCTCCGAGGTGAAGGAGATTTGGTAAGTCTGAATAACCTGACCGTCGCCGATTTGACATCGTTCCGATACGCTCCCTCAAAGAGTGTCGATGTGGAGCGCAGCACTTCGAGATACAAGGGGCTCTTATCAGACCGCAGGTGCTCCTCGACGACCGAGAACGCGGCCTATCACATTGTAGCTCTCTGCAATTCTTTTCAGTAGTCTAGAATAAACGCCCCTCGCCAGTGCTATTATCGACGCCTTTTCTGCCTTTTTTCAGCGCCTATCGTAGCCGTTTTCGGTACCTTTTCGCCTGCCTTTTTCTCGAGTTTCAAGTGCCATGACTTCTCAGCTCTCTCTCATCATCCTCAAATTCTTCTCTGTGCCTTCCGATGGAGTAGCTGCTTCTTGGCGGCTCGCTTTCTGTGGATACAACTTGAGACCTCTGTTGATAAATCCCATTCTATTTCGAAGAGGAGATCGATTGACTTGACCGCTTGTTCGACTAGACTAATTTTTATCTCTATCCTGGGAGCCACCAAAAGCCTGGAGAGCTGATCAGGAGAATCTTGAAGTCGGATGACATTGCTGCGCGAATACGCCGAGCAGCGAGTACTGAATTCAACGTCATCGTGGCTGATCAGCCTGTGGTTTTCCTCACGGTCATGAAGTGGAAGCAGAAAGAGCCGCATTCGGGTGTGCATAGACTGATGGAGGGTCGGAGTTTGATTACCGACTTCTTCGCATCAGTTGGGGGAAACCGGTCAAGTTAGCGTATAATCAATTCAGGCGGTACCTCAGGCACCCCGATATACTTCGGCGATAACCACACTGTCGATAGATGCAGAGGAGCAACGTGAACGCTTTGCAATCGAAGAGATCGAGCGCGGGACGTTGAACTTCACGTGGAGCATCATCCCAAATCAGTGACATGAGAAAGAAGCATCATATGATGCTTCAGGCATAGTTATGGACAGCCTGGACACCGAGGTTTAGGGGAATGCCGAGACGGTGCACGGTCCAAGATGCTCACCACTTCGCGTATGGATTTCTCGAAAAGTTCGGCCCCATTCGTGAGGTATCCTCCTTTCAGGCAGGGGTTTCGACGAGACCATCCGACCGCCATAGCTTATGGAATGCTTGCCGATTCTGTATTCGATGATATCGCCGGCATATCATCACGTGATGGATAGAGGCGGTAACTTCTGCAGCTACCGAATATACAGTAGAAGAGCACCTCCCGGCTCCACGCCCGTTCTCTATCAGAATCTATACGCTATGGACGCTACGCGCCGATTACGTCGGGTCTCCGTACATGGAGACAGTCGCGTAAATATCCAAAGAGCTCCATTAGAATCTACCAAGTTTCGGCAGTACTGCAGGTATGATCGACGGGATGAAGTTCCAACATTTAGATGATGAGCCCTCTAATTGTGAGTCAGTCAGCAGCTTCGCATGTCCGGGAACAGAGATGAAGTGTCCGAATCCATGCGAATATCAACTGAGCCCGGTGTTGAGAGATGAAGCGCCGAGTTCCTCTGGGATGACGTGTTCCTTGTTCCTCCGAAATCGATCGCTGGTGAGACATGAGATATTTCTTCGACTTAAGATGCCCTTGTTCTTCGGGGAATAGCAATTATCCCCACAATCTCCCTTTGATGCAAGCAGTGTCTCATCGTTGAAATCAGAAATTGTTGAACCGCATCGGCTTCTGTCGGGAGACGCACGTAGGCCACGGCCGATATTTATGATTTCCAGCACTGACTGAGCCTTCAACAACAACCGCCCGAACTCTAGCCGGTGAAAAAGCTGTCTGGATCCAGCTCTCTCCACGAGGAATCATTGAATTCGGGAAGCTTTTTCGCGTGAAATGATTCGGATTGTCAGATTCAGAAATTCTTGATCGAGAAAAGGGGTCGTCAGTGTTCGCGCACATGGCCGACGAAGAGAAGGAAGATCGTCCCCGCGGGGATCCCGCTTTTATTTCAATGCTTGATCCGAGCACGATAACGGCAAACCATAATTCTTTCCTACAGTCACATCGAGAGGCTCGAAGCCTGATCCGAGCTCAAGGAACGTGCATCCTCGAATTTCGATACGGGCTCCAGGCGCTGAGTTTCGCCGTCAGCAAGAAGCGTCTCGAGCCCTCTCAGCTGGCCGATAAGTCCTCATTTGAATCATTCTTCGGTGAAGGGGGTTCATCGCGAGCTCCGGTCATCCGCGGCCGTGACAAGTCGACGGAGCTTATTCATAAATCTGAGAGCGGAAGTTTCTCTGGGGCAGGTGTTCCATGAAGCAGCGAATTCATCTATCGGAACTTCGCATTGTCGAGCTGAACTGTGCGGACATCGCCTAGGTCAGCAGCGCGGATACGAGGTGACGTATGCATTCGTGGCCTACCTTGTACGAAGGCGCATGACTCTCCTGAACATCCTCAGCCGTTTATCACAGGACTACCAAAGCCTCTCCATGAGGGCACCCCAATAGGTTTGCTCTGGTGGTTGGTGCTCATCCCGCAAATCCTCGATCGCCCTCTTACACTGAAACGTCGACCCCTGGTCGTCATACCTTGAGAGCAAGCGGAAGAGGAAGCGATCAAAGCTAGCTCGATCCCTCTGTGATCAGCAGCGACCTATGCTAATCAGCTCACTCTTAGCGCGAAGGCCTCTGGCTCCTCATCAGGTCCGCAGAGAAGCGGCTTGCCCAGATAGGTCGTCATTTTCACGGGGAGGTAGAATGTGGGTAAGACGATGGGGAATCTCGTTGAGTCGTACCATCGTTGAACGGTTTCTGAAATAGGTCATTGGGAGTCGTGGAAGGAATCGTTCTTTCTCGTCAAGATTCACGCTGGGTAAGTTCAAGATCTCACAATCACTAAGGCGAGGAATTCCCTCGACTTGTCGTATATCAGGAACGCGCCCGGGAAAAATGATACTGCACCTGATCTTAGGAACTCGAGTTGGAGCAACCCATGCTGGATGTTCCTCGTGAACATCGGGACCACCGGAACCCCTGCTTCTTTGGCTATCTTCGCAAATCCGGATCGGGATCTCCAGACCAGCCTAGAAAGTTTTTCATGGAATGAATTCGAACCGATTCGACATTCGAGTGCTCTACGTCCTCCTTCGAGAATGAAACATTCACCCACTTGTAATTTTTGCTGAACATGGCCTCGTGGCCGCCACCGGGGGCCACGCCTCTCAGATGACCATTCTTCAGATCTTCCAAGATTCTTGTCGGCCACTGCTGCAGCCCAG